GGGGGGGGGGGGGGGGGGGGGGGCAGGCAGGAGCACCAGTTGCTGCAGCTGTTCCCAGAAGTGGCCACAGCCACTCCCAGAAGCGGCTGCAGCAGTCGTCCGCAGTGGGATTGGCTGTGGGGGGGGCGGGGACCCTGGTTGGCGAGACTGGTCATGGGGGGGCACTTGCCGCCCCTGACCAAGGCGGCACCAGTCACCCATGCAGAAAGCCGTCCATTTTCCCACCTCCATCAGACTCTCCAGGCTGGAGCCTAGGGGAGTTAATGGCAAGAAGCTGCTCTCTGGCTCTGAGTCAGGTTCATTCCCCCATTTTCAGGTTTCCTTTTCCTGATGTTCTTTCCCTGTGTTGTCTTCCTTTTCCTCTGACTTACGGGCTCTTTTATTTGTTCCACCTCCATTTCTTCTTGTTTGATTTCCTCTCTTTCCCACCCTCCTCCATGTCTTGGTCTCTCTTGCTTCCCCTTCCTTTTCCTGTTTCTTCCTGAGCCCCCTCAGTTTTAGATACTACACTCCCCTTTATCCTTTCCTCCCACCTGCAGGGCCTCATCCAACATTTCTGTTTCACTCCCACCCTCCTCTTCGCCCCACTGTCCCTTTCTGATTCATGCTGTTCCTCAGGGGGTTTGACCTTGCTTATGTAGGCTTTGGAACACCTGCAGAATAGGTGTCCCACCCCCCACAGCTACTGCATTTTAGGGACTCCTGGCACTCTGCAGCTCTGTGTCCCTTCCTTTCACACCATGAGGAGACAGTGTGCCAACAGGTGCACCTCCTTGCCATATTTGCTACATTGCTGTGGTTGCCCCTGGTATATTATAAAACCCCAGTGGAATCCCAGTTGGATCATAGCTGGGAGGTGCTGCACTCTACCTGTAGGTCACTCATTTGCTTTCAACACAGCTTGTGCCCTCTATAACCCTGTCCAAATACCATATTTGTCCCACACCTTCTTTACATAAAAGTTTAAGGCACAAGGAAACATTGTTTTCTCTGCTGGGGCCCAGCCCACTGAAATATATGATAATCTGAGCCTTTTGGCTTTGGAATAATGCCATACATACTTTGTAGCATATATAAGCAGGTACAGAAGTGCTGCATGAAAGAGTGTTAATGGGAAGTACCTGTGCTAAAACTAGCAATGGTTTCAAAAATGCAGTGTGTATCAATTCTGGATGAAGTTGAGTTTATGGGTACTATATGCAAATTACTGCAGGCATGTTTATTTCAAGGTCACTGTTTTCAAATTTGCCCTCACTTCCATGTGCTCAGGGAGAACAGGGTTTGATGATAAAAAGGGGGCAGGGGCATCAGGGAGGAAAAAGTTGGGGGGAGGGTAATGGATTTATTTTCCCTGCTGTAGAAGTGGGTGGTGGACAAATTCACAGCCAGCTTCCAATAATTAGAGTCTATCCCTGGAAAATTAGAAGGCATTTATAAATCTTCCTTATATTCAGGGTGATCTGATCTTTGAGGAAATATGGTAACTAAATGGAGGCCCACTGCTATGAAAATCATAATAGTTTATTCACAACTACTGAATGAAATGGAAAACATTTAACATTGCTCGGAAAGTGGGAGTGGGACTGTTTCTACTTATCAGTTTGCATGATGATTTTTGATCTCTTATGTCTCCTAGCTTTTGCAAGCCTCATTTGACCCTGTCATCTGTATATCCATCTGAATTCTTGATGCAGAAAATTACAGAAGATAACCAAATTCCAGTTTACCTTTCAGTCCCTCTGCCTCTTCAGTATGTGGCTGGACTAAAGGGAAATGCTATTATAGAATGTTTCCATAACAGCATTGCTGAGGTACTGTACAATCAAAGGGACTCTTTCTAGGCACTTCTAAACTTTTAAAACTAAAAATGCATTTAAACACCTTTCTTGACTGAAATTTCAATGTCGAATTTAGTAGATACTACTAAATGTGGAAGCTGATAAAGCCTAAATCTTCCAACAGTTCCCATTTGGAGAAGCCCCCTAGGAATAAAAATGAGACATTTCAGAACTTGGTTTATCTACCAGGTTCTCAGGGCCTAAATTAGTTTCATGTTTGACTTAAATAATTTACCTTGAGAATGTAGCTCTTTTTTTTTCAGGAAGAGTAGAAGGGGAGGTTGCAGACAATTGGTTGGATGTCCATTATGATAAATTTGTATAGCACCCAACTAAAATAACCAGCTTAAAAATAGAATTAATCTTGTAGTTTAGAATGAACAGTCAAAATATGAACATCAGTTGAAAGGCTGTTTAAATCTATAGTGAACATCACATTTTTTTGCTGTTTACTTGAAATCTTGTTTAATTATCTTCATCAAATAAAAAAATAGTGAATATTCAACAGATGTATTATGTATGCTAGCCTAAATATCACAGGGAGTTAATGTAAAATTAGTAAACGTTTTTCTACTTAACAGCAACTTTTGTATGCTTTTCATGTTGCATTTTCATATTCATTAAAATGTTTTACAAAGTATATGTTACTCTTGTTTATACAGCTGGGGCAGCTGACAAAAAAGTTAAGGAACTTGCACAGGGTTGCATAGTGCACTTGTCAGAAGCTAGATTTGAAAGGAGCAACAGCTAAAATAGTAGCACCAAGACTAGCTTTGTTAGTCATGTTTCCTTCCTCTTTCATAAAGCTGTTTGAAATCAGGTGCCTTCACACTACATAAAGATGTTATGTGCTTTTTGAGATCTGGCAGGCATTGCAACTTTCTAGAAGCCCTTAACAGTTTCTGGTGAACTCTATCAAACTAATAGTTAATGGTTTTGCAAGCTAGAAGGTAACAAAAATCTCGGCATTTATTTTATTCCATCTGTAAGAACATTTTCAGTGGTCGCTGTATTTCTGCTTAATGATTATATTCCCACTGGATTCTAGTTAGGGGGTGGCATTGGATTGCCAGGAAAAGCAATTTCTGAAAACAGCTTTCTGCAAGTCTGAGGTGAAGAAAATGTACAGGTTTAAAACATGCAAGTTAATTAAATACAATTGGTCTTGTAGGTGGAAAATGAAGAGCTGAGGCATCTTATGTGGTCTTCTGTTTTATTTTATAAGACTCCTGACGTAGAAGTGACAGCTTGTGTGCTGCTCTCAACAAAAGCAATTTACTTCCTGTTGGATGATTCTGTAATTCATGCTAGTAAGCAACAGTTGGGTAAGATATATGTTAATTTTTGAATCTTTAATAAAGTTGCATGTTAATGGGTAGGTCTCTCTCTGTTTTTAGTATCGCACTTTAAATTCATGCAATAGCTCTTATTTTATGTCTTGGTTTTTCCCTGGCTTACATATGGGACTTCTACCTTTCAGACAAATATTCCAAGTATTTCACTCACTTTTTTTCTCAGACAGCCTGTTCTGTATATCATCTTGTTCATGATTCTCCTTATTGTTACTTCTTAGTCACCAGCATCTTTTCATTTGAAGTGCCTGCCAGAGCTGTGTGTAAAAGGTTCGTAGAGTCATATTATGCCCTTAATTCATATATGTAAGACATAGGATATACCAGTAGATCTCACTGGATGTTTCACTGTAGCTCTGAGAATGTGACATGCTCCCAGTAATTACCAGTTTGGGGACAAGGAAAAGCAAGCTGCTTTCCATAACATACTATGTGGTAACTGCATTCTGGGCTAAGAGTTCCTCATATGATTATTTTTAAAAGGAATGGAGCATAATATTTTTGCATTGATAATGAACAGCTTTATTCTGATAGACCAGGGGTTTTAAATCATTTTGAACTCAAAGCATCTCTCATTAGACTTAAGCTTTTATTAATTGAGTAGCACCCGATTAAAACAACTAACATATATTATAGTGCTTGCTTCCTTGCAGAGGCCCGGGAATAGGGATAGCAGATCATCTGGCCAGGGACAAGGCTGAACCTGTGCTTATCTGCTCAGTTTATCTGCTTATCTTCTCACACCTCACTGCATCTTTCATAATACCTGGCAGCACCCCAGGATGCCCTGGCACTATGAGAGTCACTGTGATAAACACTTTTTTATGTTTCTCTTTGAAAGACAAAGAATTTACTGGTAATAGTTTACTGTAGATAAATTGGTCTATATGGTAGACAGTTTTCTTCTGATTTTAGTGGGACTTGCTTAGAGGTGCATCAGTCCATATCATATTGGCACTGATAAAAGGAAAATT